ATCTCTGAACAGGCAGATAGCAAATTTGGACAAAAGCATATCTAGTTATATAAAAAATAAATAAAAATAGGGTTCGTTACCTTGCCTTAAGAACTGATCAAGACCTTTCTGTCCTCTGGAATTTCGTATAACTTTCAGTTGTGAGGGCGTAAATGAGTTTTTTCTGAAATTCAAAATGTCCGAAGAAAAAAGATGAAACTGACGTGTCGTATTGGAAATGAAAATTCGCCTTGGGTTCACCATGACAGATAGTTTCATTTTTATGAGAGTTCGTGAAACGTAAAATATTATGTGTCATACAAACTCCTTTGAATCCGTTTTAGATGGAAAACCATTTCCTACCATAGCTAAGAAATAATGTAGCCATTGGAACAAGTTGCATATGAAGTTTCTCGTAGCAAATATCTCTAAATTATTTCCTTCATTTTTTGACATTGTTTTTCACCAAAGCACCAACGGAGGTCTTGATCGAAATTAAACCGGGCAACTCACTCCTAATTGCTACATAATCATGTCAAGTTTTGTGCTAAAAAAAGACAATTTATAGGATCAACTTACCTTGCAACTTACAATGTAAGAAAGTACTTAGATACGCGGTGATTCATAGAAATAAATAGCTTCGACTTCCTCAATTTTAAAGAATGAAATGCCAATATTCGAGCTAAGTGTGAAATATGGTAAGATGAATTATCTGACAGACGACCAATCGTAAAGAAGATACTTAATTTACCAACCGTCTCAAAATTGAACAGATCATTACTTAGCCATTTAAGAAGATAGACAAGGAAATGCAACGAGTGTCATCTCTAGACTCATAAAACAATTAAAATCGAAGGTCTGTCAATCCTCGGGAAAGTTGTTGGATGGAGCCCAGAACTTTTCTGTTGTGTATGGTAAGATAGTTTTTTTCAAGGTTTTTTTTTTTTCTCATCGCGTCATTTGTGTTTTAAAAATTGGTTGACTTCGACGAGAAAAGTTTAAATTGCACGGAAAACAAATGGTGGAATGGTCTTAAAGCAGCTGACAGTTATGGAAATTTACTAATTTCCTTCAATCACTGGCGAAAAATTTCCACTTAAAGTGCATTTTCATGTTTTGATCTTAAGTAAGAGCTCCCCAGAACTGAAAACTTTCTTGTTCAGTAAAAAAAAAAATAGGTACAAATGTGTGATTTTATTATTGAGAATGATTTATATGATTGATGTTATGAGAACTTTTGGGGAAAATTTTAAATAATGCTTCTTCTATCTTTCTAAGTAGGGGAAGATAAAATGGGGCGCTTTTTTTTTCCCGAGTCGTCTTTGTTTGAACAGTAGACTGAAACTGACGAAGTCTGTAAACATTGCTGGCAAAACTAATTATTAAATTATCATATGACGACGGTAACTCAATACCATTTCCCCTTAATCATGCATGGTGTTAAATTTTTTCTAGAAGTACATTTATTTTCCAATTATCAGTAACAACAGTTTGTTAGGATCGATATCGTATTAATCAAAAAAGATTTTAAAGCATACATGATTTTACTATTTTACTATTCAGATCGGCATAACTACTGATGCCATCAAAGCTTTTAGTAAAATATTCGCCTAAAAGTGAGACATTCAGGTTCCCAAGTAATATCTCGCAGACTCTGTCCTTTAGGTCGTAAGTTTACCTTTATCTCGTTACAAAATTATTGATATGGAAAGGACAGCTTTCTCAAAAACAAGTGAAGCGACTCGTATGTAAACCTGACCTTTTAAAACCACTGCTTATTTCACTCCTTCAAATTGAGATTGTTGGTTAAGAAGACACCAGAGCCACCATCGAGAACAGAGAAGTCATTTGAAAAGTCTTAAAGTTTGAAATTGTCATGCATATACTCAATGTGTTGTGCGAAACAATGCAGACGCAAACTCCCAAAGACTGAAACTGAGTTTTTCCTAATCCATACATTTTCGTGCCATTAAGAAACATTGGCTATTTTAATATCATTAAAATACTCCTAGATAAAGACAGTTCGTCCCGTTTCCCACTATGATGAGAAAGTTCCTTTTGTGTATGTAAATATTGTTTTGACGCTGGCTGAAAAAGTTTCTACCAGAATGCAAATGATAAGCGTCTTGCCTAAGAAATCTCATAAAACAGATGCTTCAGTATTTATGCTTGTAATAGCTCACCGAAAAAAAAAAATCCTTTTTTTTTCTTTTTTCCAAGGACTTGTGATGTACGTATACATAAGACGAGGAGGAACTGTAACCCAAATCTTCTTATAATCTGTTCATGTTGTCCTTCAGCAGCATGATTAAAAACATAAAATCCTAAATTCTACTCTTTGGACAGCAGTTTAAGGCCTCCTTGAAACAGTTCGCACGTTTCCAAATCTTTTTATTTAACAGAAACTAAAACAGCATCCTGCTGTTTGATTTAGTATAAGAGCTAAATGAAGAAAATTAAAAAATTAGCCCATTTCATATCAAGGTTACAAAACTGTCGACGGACTTTTTAAAAGAACTTGTTCCCCGTTCATAGATGGGAAAAGGAATTATACAACAACACTTTCTTAGCTTCGATGATTTAAGAAAGAAAGCAAAACGAAAAAAAAATGGAAAAATTAACTCCCCCAGTCTAAAGCTGTAATGCATATACCAATTTGTTTCTCAGAGGATTTCAGCGTCGATCTCAACTATGTGAATTACATCATTTTCACATCCCAACTCTGGAACCATATATGAAGAGGGAAATTTACTTCTGTACGCTCAAATTTTCTAATTTATTCCATGTAAAACTGCATCGACCAACGAGATATAATAAATGATTTACATGTCTGAAGTTATCTTTCTACCTGATTCCATCTTGGAGTTGGAAAAATTACTTACCTATATTCTCAGAATTCAAACCAAGGGCATCTCCCATCTTAGATTAGGGAGAAATAACGTTTGTCGTTTTACTTTAAAAAGACATGGCTCACAACTTCTTTCCTCTAGAGTTCTGTTAATCAAATCCGTTGGGTAGTTTTGTCGATAGTTAAGTTGACACATTTTTAACTGTCTGCATTGATCACTTCTTATCTCAAAACAAAACTTGAAAAGACAAATAACACGTCTGAAAATTAAAATTTCTGCTTATTGTGTCACCTGAAGAGTGAACGAATACATAGACTATGTAAAAAATAGTTGTCTTGTTTCCAATAAAGTTTTTTTTTTCTTTGACAGCTTTTCATCCTTCTCAATCTACCTTAATTAAAAAACTGCAAAAAAACTCAAGGTTGTAAAATTCACTAACACCTGAGTCCTTCCATAGCCTCTCGCCGGTTTTCATTTAATTATATCTGTTTTTTTTTATTATTTTTGTCCTATCACTCATTTTGTTTGCCTCTGCTTCTGTTTTGATAAGTTCCTTTCAGAAAAAAAGATATTTTACACTACTAATCGTTAACAACTTTTAAAAAAAGGCGAATTAGAAATACGATAGTTTTTCTGTTCTCTTTTAATAAATGTTTTGTAGAGATTTACCACGCACCACGAATTAAGTTTCTAAATAGAAAAAAACCTTTAAAAAACTGTGCTCAAGCATGCTTAAAACACGACGCCGCCATTTTTTAACAGTTCCCTTTTCAAAATCACAACGCTAGCTCATAACGAGGAGAAGCTGCATTAGTCATCCTCAAAAACAATTATTACAGTCGAGTTTCAATTTCATAATTAATCAAACAAAACGCTGAGAGATGGGAAAATGTGGAGTGCACGTTAGACAGGCTAGTCTGCTAGGCAAGATCCAAAATGGAGGCATTCATCGTCAAAATTTAACCACATGTGAAGACAGTAATTCAAAGGCCAGGCTACTCTTTGGAATCTGAAACCACTGTCAGTGTACAAATGACAGAAGTGGTTCCCAATTTGTGGAGATAGAAATTAAAAGGTATCTGGAGCTTACATCTACTTTGACTTGAAAGCTACAACTTCATTCCGACTCGCGTGAATGATATCTAACATAATCTCTTGATTTCTAACGATTCCCTTCATAATCTATAGGCTAAAAATTACTGACTCTTGATTAACAGCCATTACAAAAAATTTTGATAATACAAGACAAAAATTACGGAAATGTACTTATTATTACCTACTTGCGTTAGAGAAAGTTTTAATTGCTTAGAGAAAGTTTTAATTGGGTATCAAAGGTAATCTACACTTGGTAATTATCAAAGGTAATTATAACAATAGACTTATTAGGACCTATATGTATAAAAAGGTGGCGTCAAGAGTTAGTATCCTTGGCAGTGTCAGAAGTTTCGTAACAAAAAAGGCAGCAACACTTGTTCACAACGCTTTAATTCTTCCATTATTCGATCGCTGTGACACTGCCTGGAGTAACCTTCCACAGTGAGATATAGATCGACTACATGGACTACGGACTAGATCTGCATGGATCATCACACGTTGCTCTCGCTCATGTGAGGCAATAGAGCAGCTGCACTGGCCGATTCTTTCCAGCAGACGCTCTTACCACAAGGCAAAACTCGTTTTTCTATGTCTTCACTCATTAGTCCCTTGTTATTTTTTATTATATTTTACTAGATGTTCGAACATTCACAACTATTTCACAAGGCAAAGTATGAGGCTATCCTTATCAAACGTTAAACAGAATTTTGGGAAAGGGGCCTTTCTTTTTACTGGCGCAATTTGTTTCTTAACAAACTCCCAGTAAACATTGCGAAGAGTGAAAACATTTAGACGTTCTGCCGCCGAGCAAGACATTTCTGAATTTGATGTTTTACTATATTTTAGGCTTTAAAAGTGATTTTTTTTAATGTATTTTCTAGGCTCGAAATGCACCTCTTTAATTCTATTGTTGTATTTTTATTAGGCTCTTTGCGTGTGATAGTTTATGCCAATTCTTAATGTAAATCAATTCTTTAAGACAGGGCCCGAGCAAAGCATTTCTGAATTTGGTGTTTTACTATATTTTAGGCTTTAAAAGTGATTTTTTATTTTTTATTGTATTTTCTAGGCTCTATGTACATGAAGAACCAAGTCTGTGTTCCCTATTCATGCACTGCAAGCAGCAGTCAAACACGGGTTGTACGAAATATCTCCTCACCGAAGGTCACGTTTCCATCGCGAATCAAGCTTGATTCTTGTCTTTCTCCTTCGAGTGACACCAACCCTCTATTGCTGACGCGTGACCTTGCCCTTAATCGGCTAGTGAGATTGAGAGACTCGGATTCACTTTTTTGATAGGAAAAACTGAATTTTCTCCTGTTTTGCAACAGATTTCGTAGGGCGGACCAGAAGTCGCGTTTGAAAAATGTGTAGAGTAGAGGGTTGGCGAAAGATGTGATGTAGCGAATGACCATGCATGCTTCTAAGAAAAAATCTAAATCTCCTATTCCTATGGCGACTAAAAGCATGGCGGTAAAATAAGGCAACCAACAAGATACAAATATGATGGCCATGGTTGCGAAAACCAAGATGCACCTCCGGTCACTTTGGTTTTTCTTCTGCTTCCGCAGCTTATTGCTCTCTACCGAAGATGGTCGCTGTCTTTTAGTAATCGCTCTGAACATGGCTATGAATGCATAAATCATAAATACGTACGGAAAAAGGAACACTGCAACAAGACAAAGCGCAGTGTGAATGATGTGACAACTTGCAGATGTTTCATTACCATGCCAAGCAAGAGGAATGACAGCAATAACCGTAGAAATGATCCACACTCCGAGCACTATTTTTAAAACTAATCTCTTCGTCACCACGTAGTGTTTCAGGGGGCTAACAGTTGCCAAGTACTTGAGCGCAGTAACAACCAGTATGTGATAAGAACCTGAAACCGCCAGTAATGTGTGCGAAACGTATGTCCCATAGTGCAATTCTTTTGGGAGAATCTCAAAGTTATAAGCAATGAAGTATGGAATGGCGAAAGCGCCAGTACTGAAGTCACAAATTGCCAGGCTAAGAAGCACATAGTTTGAAGAAGTGCGGAGACGGGGACATCGGTAAAACAAGACAAACACGAGTCCATTAGCCAGAACTATTGCTATGGCAATTGGAAGAAGTTTGCTCAAGGCCTTGACTCCATCGTCGGACTGTTGCTGAGGTAACTTTGAGGTTACATCGCTGTTATTCATTTTTACTTCTGTTGAAAGACGAATGGAGATGAAATCACTGAAAGAGAAAATTAAAACAACGTTAACGAAGGATATCTGGTTATGTTCTTTGAGTACAAAGAGTAAACTATTTTTTTTTATTTGCAGTACAAATGAGCGTGTTTCATTACTTGACTACAGTAGGTGAGATCAGTTCAATTCACAATCTAAATCGAAATACTAATATTGATGCAAAAATTAAAAAACTCATGCTTTTAAAATTTTCAAGTCGTAGGGAAACCTACGTAATTTGCCATGGCTGGAACACCCATTGTCAGTGAAATTCTGTGTTGTTGT